AGTTAAGTGCTGTTGAAGGATAATAGGGGGTACATGCATGGTATTGGGGGAAGGGGGACATAGGCCTATACATAGCATATTAGTCATTGAAAAGTAGATTTCAAGAGTACATATGGCATTGGAAGTTACTGATGGGCATTGGACCCTACATACAATAGAGATGGGTAAAAAGGGTATTGGATGGTACACATGGCATTCGAGTGCACAGGAAGTGAGTGAGTGAGTTTGGTTTTACGCTGCTTTTAGCCATATTCTAGCAATATCACGGCGGGGGACACCAGGGTCCACTTGCACAAAGCGATCTTAGCATGGGTGAATGGGTGGGGTGGTACATGAATGGGTGGGGTGGTACATGAATGGGTGGGGTGGCACATTAATGGGTGTAGTGGTACATGAATGGGTGGGGTGGTACATGAATGGGTGGGGTGTGACATAAATGGGTGGGGTGGCACATGAATGAGTGGGGTGGCACATTAATGGGTGGGGTGGAACATGAATGGGTGGGGTGTCACATGAATAAGTGGGGTGGGTTGTTTGTCACTGAGTCTGACCATCAGATCCATTTAGTCACAGAGCAAGACCACCAGATCCATATAATCACCGAGCCTGACCATCAGATCCATTTAGTCACCAAGCCTGACCATCAGATCAATTTAATCACCGAGTCTGACCACCAGATCCATTTAGTCATCGAGCCTGACCACCAGATCCATTTAGTCATCGAGCCTGACCACCAGATCCATTTAGTCACCGAGCCTGACCATCAGATCAATTAAGTCACCAAGCCTGACCACCAGATCCATTTAATCACCAAGCCTGACCACCAAATCCATTTAATCACCAAGCCTGACCATCAGATCCCTTTAATTACCGAGCCTGACAACCAGATCCATTTAGTCACCGAGCCTGACCACCAGATCCATTTAGTCACCAAGTCTGACCAACAGATCCATTTAATCACCGAGCCTGACAACCAGATCCATTTAGTCACAGAGCAAGACCACCAGATCCATTTAATCACCGAGCCTGACCACCAGATCCATTCAGTCACCAAGTCTAACCACCAGATCCATTTCGTCACCGAGCCTGACCATCAGATCCATTTAGTCACCAAGCCTGACCACCAGATCCATTTAATCACCGAGCCTGACACCAGATCCATTTAAACACCGCGCCTGACCATCAGATCCATTTAGTCACCAAGCCTGACCATCAGATCAATTTAATCACCGAGTCTGACCACCAGATCCATTTAGTCATCGAGCCTGACCACCAGATCCATTTAGTCATCGAGCCTGACCACCAGATCCATTTAGTCACCGAGCCTGACCATCAGATCAATTAAGTCACCAAGCCTGACCACCAGATCCATTTAATCACCAAGCCTGACCACCAAATCCATTTAATCATCGAGCCTGATCATCAGATCGCTTTAATTACCGAGCCTGACAACCAGATCCATTTAGTCACCGAGCCTGACCACCAGATCCATTTAGTCACCAAGTCTGACCAACAGATCCATTTAATCACCGAGCCTGACAACCAGATCCATTTAGTCACAGAGCAAGACCACCAGATCCATTTAATCACCGAGCCTGACCACCAGATCCATTCAGTCACCAAGTCTAACCACCAGATCCATTTCGTCACCAAGCCTGACCATCAGATCCATTTAGTCACCAAGCCTGACCACCAGATCCATTTAATCACCGAGCCTGACACCAGATCCATTCAGTCACCGAGTCTGACCATCAGATCCCTTAGTCACCGAGCCAGGCCACCAGATCCATTTAGTCACCGAGTCTGACCACCCGATCCATTTTGTCACCAAGCCTGACCACCAGATCCATTTAGTCACCGAGTCTGACCACCAGATCCATTTAGTCACTGAGCCAGACCATCAGATCCATTAAGTCACCAAGTCTGGACACCAGATCCATTTAATCACCGAGCCAGACCACCAGATCCATTTAATCACCGAGCCAGACCATCAGATCCAATTAGTCACCGAGTCTGACCACCAGATCCATTTAGTCACCAAGCCTGACCACCAGATCCATTTAGTCACCAAGCTTGACCACCAGATCCATTTAATCACCGAGCCTGACCACCAGATCCATTTAATCACCGAGCCTGACCACCAGATCCATTTAATCACTGAGCCAGACCATCAGATCCATTCAGTCACTGAGTCTGACCATCAGATCCATTCAGTCACCAAGTCTGACCACCAGATCCATTCAGTCACCGAGCCAGACCACTAGATCCCTTTAATCACCGAGCCTGACAACCAGATCCATTTAGTCACTGAGTCTGACCATCAGATCCCTTAGTCACCGAGCCAGACCACCAGATCCATTCAGTCACTGAGTCTGACCACCAGATCCATTTAGTCACCGAGTCTGACCACCCGATCCATTTAGTCACCGAGTCTGACCATCAGATCTATTTAGTCACCGAGCCTGACCATCAGATCCATTCAGTCACCGAGTCTGACCACCAGATCCATTTAGTCACCGAGTCTGACAACCAGATCCATTTAGTCACCGAGCCTGACCACCAGATCCATTTAGTCACCAAGCCTGACCATCAGATCCATTTAGTCACTGAGTCTGACCATCAGATCCATTTGGTCACCGAGTCTGACCACCAGATCCTTGTAGTCACCCAGTCTGACCACCCAATCCATTAAGTCACCTCTTATGACAAGCATATATGTTGACCAACTCTAACCTGGAATCCCCACTGTGTAGGCCTACACAGTGGCACCAAAAGATGGAGTGTGGTACATTGTCCTGTGAAGATTCCAGGTTAGAATTAGTCTTCAGCAACCCATGAAGCGACTAACAGGATCGGTTTGTCAGGCTCTCTGACTTGGTGGATCATGTCATCATATTCCAGTTGCTTAGATTGATGCTCATGAAGTCAGTCACTAGATTGTCTGGTCTACATTTGATTATTTATAGACCATCGTCATAAAGCTGGAATATTGCTGAGTGTGGCATTAAACAACAACCAAAACAAAACATAAAATGAATGTTTGGCTTGAACATAAAAGTTTGAAAAAATGTGCAAATAAATTGTCAACAATGAAGGTGTCGTGTCATTGAACATTATAATTTCGCTCATCATAAAATTAGCAGCCTTTGATAGACAAGGGAACCTTGTCATAGAAGTAATGTTAAAAGATTTAGAGTGTCCCTAGATTCAAATACAAAAAGGGAATACCTCTAGGACCCCAGGGCCCCCTTAATTATTAACACTGAATTGTATTGTGCAGGATGAGAGATAATGTAGCAGATGATCTGGCACAGAGACGAATTAACGCTGTGGAGAGGTGACTAGCATATGGGTCATATCAACTACTGTGCATTGTGACTTGTTAGATTTTCACCCTGTTTCACCCAGTGATTACCTGATACATCATAACAGTATACACCATGTCAGGACATACAAAGATATGTGACCAAGGCTTGATAAATATTCATTACATTTCTTGGTATGTTTAACCATGACTGACATGTGATTAGCATATTAAGGCACTATGTAAATGTATGGCAGGATATGAGGAATGGAGATTTCAAAAAAAGCTCTGCTCATGTTTAAACATGATGACATTTGACACATGTTGATTAATTTCACTGTAATTCAATTAACAACCATTTATAAAGAAATAAATTGAATAAATCAAAAACTGAAATTCAACATGTTTGTTCCATGGTTCAATCCACTAGAAATTAGCTATAACTAGCTTTGACAACTCGAGCAAAAAAATCAAATTGGAAAATATAACATTAAAACACCCCATGTAAGCTGAGACTATACTTAATAACCCAAACACCAGTCTAACTGTGACCATGTCTCAGGAGGAATGTAGGGCCGCTCACAGCTGGACATCAAAATCACCATGACAACACCTCCCCCATAACCATAGAAAACCCCCTCCCTACCCCCTGGGTCAGGTTGTGTTCAATATCCCCACCCCAGGGGTTTGCGCCAGGAGAGGAGAGAGGCTATCACTTGGCTGATACTGCCAGCGGGGTGCCCTGTTCCTCACTTTATCACAACCAGCACAATAGCTGATGAAGGCACCCCTTGGTAACTGGCAACATTCACCTAGCTGAAACAGGTGACAGTCGGCTGTAGAGATATTGATCAACAAGGCCATGTAATATAGAGAGACCATAATGAAAGACACAACTGACACATAGAGTGGTTGACCATATTTAATTCACTACTGTGACACTTAATTCTGACCTTATCAAAATGAATTGTCTCAACACATTATGAAAATGATGAAATAAACTCATACAAAAAATATATCCCTAAAATTTCTGTTTTAGTTTGCAACAGAATATCTGAATATAAAGAGGGAATATATTTTGGACAAAAAGAAGTTATTGTAGGGAGGTAAATCATATTGTGATATAATGCATGAATGATTCGCTTGGTGTGTTGTGTGGATGAGAGAGAATCAGATACATGATTCAAACTTGAACCTATCCTGACATCTGACAGCATTAAAATCATTTTTTTAACTGACAAATCAACGAGTACAAAAATAATCAATATTCCATTCATTACTATCACTTCGCCGATAGTACCATACGATCTGACTGAACGATGAACATCATAATTCAGAATCAAATAAATAAACGGAATTTGGTAATCTGGTTAAGTGAAATTTGTCATTTCCTTAAGATTTCACAGCAGACATAATGTAGAAATCTTATAAAACGCCATATGAAAAGAAAGTCCAAAAACGTGTTACTTCCAATCTAGTTCGACTCACTCGTTCACTTCCAGGAACCAAGCCCACCGCCTCTCTCTCAATCGTGAGACCCCATGTGACAGTCATACCACTCAACGCGACACTATTTCCTGCAGTGTCAGACTCCCAACAGCTGAGATTTCACTATACAAGAAATTCTGAGTACTCACACATACAAAGCACTGACAACAATCACAGCACATTAAACATATACATTATCTTTACTTACGTTTGCAAGATTTAGGTCGTGCTTGCTTTCGGCGCGACATTTCAGACCTTGGTTTCCCAACGCAGCTTGTCTGAGAGAGCGCACGGCGCTGTATTCCGCTGTTGAAAGCTAAAACCCAGCATGTGGGCCCAAGCTACGTCATGAAATGAATATTGAATTGCCCTGAAACTAACTGCGCCCAAGGGGGCCTCTCCCCCGGGACCCAACCTTTCCCGTACACCCCGAGTCCGCCACGAGATGCAGTCGCCTGGGGGATGAGGTTCGTGGTATATTTAGCTCTGGCGACGTGCAGGCCTCGGAGATAACACATGTGAATAGTTCGGACTCCCTGGGGAGCAGAAAAACGCCGACTTCTCCCTCCAATGAGCGAACTACTTCTAGTTCGTGGTCCCAGTGGGGTTCCCAATCTGCCATCTTTCACATGGCAATGGCTCGATGTAAACATAACGAGTTGTCTACTACGCATGCGTTGAAGAGCGTCTGCTACTAGGAAAAGATAACTCTGAATAGATTCAATCAAGTTTCCCACTAAAAAGAAGATAATAGTTTCATCAAATGAACACAATCAATCTTTGTTGTTTTATAGAAATAGTTATCACAATCGGTAATAATGTACACACACTAATAAGAACACTAACACACATACACACACACTAACTCTCTTATACTTGTGTAAATATTTTGATCACACTTTTCGCGTTCAACATTTATATAGCAACATTATTAGGGCAAATGAATGCCAGTGTCGTATTGTCTTTTTTAAAATGGTATGTTCTTTCATTTTAGCACCTAAATTAATCGTTACGCTTTTAAACATTGATTTCATTACAAGATAAGTAATGCCCCAATTAATAGCTTAATCAATTCATGAATAAATTCAAGCACTGACAAATATGATTCTTCGTTAATCCATTCTCAGATAAACAGAAGTTTTGGAAGCAATGTCACTCATTGTCCGCCCGCTTACTTGTAGCCCACAAAAGCAGAAAATGTAATGTAGTTGGATTTGACATTTTCACACCTCCGTCCAAACATCAAGTACTAGATCTACCTATTAAACACATGTGCGCGCATCTTGGAAAAATCCCAACCAAATATATGCTTTTGTGTCACTTTTCATGATACAATTATAGCATCTGACAAACTATGACTCATCCGCAGTTCTTGAATTCCACTATTCGGCGGCTTAGTACAAGGAAATGTCAATCACTGGATTGTCTGGTCCAGACTCGATTATTTACAGACCGCCGTCATATAGCTGGAATATTGCCGACACACAAACAAACAAAACAAAACAAAAAACTAGGAAATGAAAGAGAAACAATCTCGTAGTCAACCATATTAGTGACACACCCAATCGTGTTACACTTGACTGCTGATTCCATTCTGAGCAAGGTGTGCAATCGGGATAGCTTCATCTCGTGAAATTAGCGCTGCATTTCAAAAACAAAACAAAACAAAAAAACTTATGCCCAGTGCACAACAGTTTCAGCAACAGAAATGATTCCCTTTCATGCGGTGGCGTTCTCCCATATACCTGTATTTATAGGGGTGAACGCCACCGCATGAAAGGGAGTCATTTCCGTAAAGATTCCGGGGTAGAATAGGTCTTCAGCAACCCATGCTTGCCGTAAAAGGCGACTATGCTTGTCGTAAAAGGCGACTAACGGGATCGGGTGGTCAGGCTCGCTGACTTGGTTGAAGCATGTCATCGATCCCAATTGCGTGGATCGATGCTCATGATATCAATCACTGGATTGTCTGGTCCAGACTCGATTATTTACAACCGCCGTCATATAGCTGGAATATTGCTGAGTGCGGCGTTAAACAACAAACCAACCAACCAACCAACAACCTGTATTTATTATCATACAAAGCAGGATATATCGCTGCAATGAAATGGCTTCGGTTACCATGACGTCACAATCAAATGTCATCACCAATGGCTGCTACTGAAGCTGGTTAGCGGTACGTTTTACACTCAACCCACTTCTAATTACTGTTTAAAAACTAAACATGATGGAAGGATGATGTTGAACGACAAATAGAATCCCACCCTCTATTGATGAAATATATAAACACTCGTCGATAAAAATTTAAAACTCACCGACAAGCCTCTGAGTTTAATACTTTTATCGACTCATGTAGATATAGATCTACATATGTTTAAGAACTAAACAAATCGTTGTTTATCGTACAGTGAAGCACTGCAGTGAGAATAAACCATGAGTATATATTCCATTCAGGGAGTGATCATTATTAAAATTTGGGTAAATATTTTCTAGCTTGTACATTTTATCAACATCCTCCATGAGGCTGTAAATATTGTTGATATCTCGTATAAAAAATAAACCACTCGTGGTCGTCGTTAATCGTACAATAACACATTGCAGGGGGAATAAACAACTCGGGACTGGGCCCCTCATGGTTTATTCTCTCTGCAATGTTTTATTGTGCAATAAACAACCCCAACTTGTATATTTCTTAATCAAAAGACACTCGGTGAGATTCTCTATACCAAGCTGGCTTCCACAGGAGGTGTCGCTTGTGAAGGATCAAGCGATATCTCATATGAGGTATCTTTACAATGAAATTACATCACACTGTTTTGTATATCATTGTTATGTCATCACTTATCATGACGTCACAATCAAATGACATGCACTAATCACTCTGCCACTAAAACTGGTTAGCTCTACATTTTACACTCAAGACACTGGTTATTCTGTTTACAAACTTTAAAAGTTGAAAGAATGAGTTGGGATGATAAAAAGAATCTTACCCGAGTGTCTTTTGATATCAACACGATTCGATAAAAGTTTGAACTCCGAGGCTTGCAGAGTGAGTGAGTGAGTGAGTTGGGTTTAACGCCTCTTTTAACATTATTCCAGTTATATCACGGCGTGTCAGCTTAATGTGGGAGGAAAGCCCGAAGTGATGCAGGTCTCAGACGTTTACCACTTCGGTGAAACCCACGAGCACGGGTATGGTGCTGACAAACCTAGAAACATAATCGGGGCGAACCGGGATTCGAACCCACAATCATAGGTTTCTGGCATGTCCAAGGGACGCAACTCTGCACAGCGAATCGCGGCGCCTCAGACGATTGGGCAATCCGTGCCCCCGGCTTGCCGAGACATATAAAGATGATCTGTATATCTGAAGAACAATACTCTAGTTGTATCATTCATTCTGATGTATAGCCAAGATGGAGACTGACGCTGTGTATGATAAAGCGGCAGTTGAAATGGTAGATGATGGATATCTGCTGTAATTCCTGAAGTTTTTTAGAATACATATCGTTTTACCAACAATCATGACGATAGTGCAAGGTGCCGTTCATTTCCAGCGTTTTTATTTATTGACTTCAACTCTAGAAACCCTGAAAACATATCGACAGAAACGCCCTGTTTAACCACCACCACTCCTCCTAAAAAGAATACAGGAACATCGGATTTGACCTTTAAACGTTATCAAAACGTGAATGGTCTGGACACAGTCGCCGAAACACCTCAAACGTCAGTTCCACAAAACACAACAATGATGCCCGTATAAAAAAAACACCATCGAATAACCATTTCTTGTTTGTCTCATTATTAGCTACTATCAAACATGGGTGTATGCTTTCTTTTCGTTCATACCAAATTCTAAACTCAAACACTAGTACCGCTTTCGTCCTCAAATCTAAAGCAGTTTATCTTTGTTTGTTTTTTGTGTAACTCCACGTTCAGCAATATTTCAGCTATATGACGACGAGTCTTTGAATGGCATTTAAAAGTGATACACATATTAAGAGAGAACTTATGGATGTCAACTTCTTTATTATGACGAACACAACGCTTCGGAATATATGCTTACTTCGTTATCATTCACCTGCTAAAGGAATAAGTATATACTCCGAAATGTTGACTTTCATAAATTCTCTTTCTTAAAGGACGGCGATATGTAAATAATCTAGTCTGTCTGGACCAGACAATCCGGTGACTGACATCATAAGCATCGATCTATGCAATTGGGATACGATGACATGCACCAACTAAGTCACCGAATCTGTCCACACGAACCTGTCAGTCGCCTCCTTCGACAAGCATGGGTTGCTGATGATCAGACCGACTCCGTGGTCTATTGGTAGAGCGTCCGCCCCGAGAGCGGAGGGTCCGAGGTTAGACAAACACCCCCCCCCCCCCCCCCCCCCCCACCCACCCACCCCCCACCCACACACACACACCCACACACACACCCCAAACACCCCCCTCCCCAAACACACACACACACACACACACCCAAACACCCCCCACCCCCGTCATATCAAAAGACGTTAAAAGATGGTAACTTGTTGTTACCCTGACTGGCGCTCGGCATTAAGGGGCTAAAACAGGTCGGCATACTGTGTCAATATACTGTGTCTGAGTTGGGTATTCATTTTAAACTGCGGCATAGTATCTCAGTGAGCTAGCACTATCAATCTGCATCAGCCAGGACTAGTATATGTAGCCACACCCCCGCCACACACACACGCGCGCATGCACGCCGCTATATAACTGCAATAACATTGGACGCGACGTTAAACCCAATTTCACCTCACCTCATCTGAAGACCAATTCACGGTTAAAGCATTTAATGACAGAAATGCAACGATCGTATCAAACGTGTTCACATTGTTCTATTATTCCTAATATGCACCAGCACAAGGTTGGCCGTGTATTATACATGTGACTTGCCTACGGCGGGACGTCAGTAATACATTGGTCAAGGCATCGACGGTCGGCACTGTGGGCTGGTAGTTATCGCCACAAACAGGCTGTGCAGTGATGCAGAAACCCGCTGATCATCTCACGGTCCTTAATTAGCAGCATCAATGTAATTTGCTCCGTCAGCTTCGAGGTGTGAAACAATTAACGGTACCCTAAATCCCAAGTATCTTTTGCACCTGCCAAAGCTAATTAAGTCTGGCCTAGATTGTCTGTCTTGTGCTTAGTTGATGCTTGTTTATAAATCCGGGTCTACCAGCACGTGAAGATCCGGGGTAGAATTGGTCTTCAGCAACCCATGCTTGCCGTAAAAGGCGACTATGCTTGTCGTAAGAGGCGACTAACGGGATCGGGTGGTCAGGCTCGCTGACTTGGTTGATTCATGTCATCGTATCCCAATTGCGTGGATCGATGCTCATGATGTCAATCACTGAATTATCTGGCCCAGACTCGATTATTTACAGACCGCCGTCATATAGCTGGAGTATTGCTGAGTGCGGTGTTAAACATCATGACATGATAATATTTGATATTTGGACATGCCTTCAGTCAGAATGATATTCAGTTAAATGTTGGGTGTCTTTTTTAATATTGTTGAAATTTGACAGAATAAAAATATGGAAAAAATAATGCATATGACTGATTGCCTGGTCCAGACTCGATTATTTACAGACCGCCGTCATACAGCTGG